ATTAGTCTCCATGCACGACGAAAGAAAAAAAATAAAAAAATTTAGGAAGCCTCCGAAGAGCCATGGTCTCCGTGCACGGAGACCATGAAATTATTATTATTTTTTTACTTATATTTTTGTGTTCATTTTAAGGCTCATTACGGGATATCAAATGAAGTCGAAATATTACATTCTTAATATCGTTTTGAAGTATTCACGACATAGTATTGCACGTCGTTAATGGTGCGTGAAACGGTCAATCGTAGCAAATGTTAGGGGACGTCAAAGTAAGCATTTTCAAACTATATTTCAAAATTTTTGATAACAAATTAACTTTAAAAATTCATCGAAAATTGTACGATAGTCGAATCACTAAATGTTTTACATTATCTCGAAACTCATTTTGAGAACTATATCATAGAGATATCGAATGATCTAAATAGATATTGAAAATTGTTGAACGGACATTAAACGTATGTGTTAAAAAATACGCATAAGTCATTTTTCTTTAAAAAATCAATTATTTTATTATTATTTTGAAATTTTCGATAATAAACTAACTTTAAAAATTTATCGACGATTGTACAATAGTTAAATTGATAAATATTTTACATTCTCTTGAAACTCATTTTGAGAACTATATCGTAGAGATATCGAATGATCAAAATAAATATGAGAAATAATTAAACGGAGATTAAACGTATGTGTTAACAAATGCGTTTTCTTCTTAAAAAAATCAATTATTTTTTTCTTTTTAATTCTTTTCTCTTCCAAATAAAATTTAATTTTTCAAAAATCACTTTTAGTAAAAAAAAAAAATTTAAAAATAAACATATTAACAAAAATATTTCTAATATATGTAAAAATTACTTATATAAGTAAAAAAATTCGTTTAAAATTATCTAGAAGTAAAAAATAAAATAAAGTTATGAAAATTAACTGAAGAATATATAAATATTATTTAATTAAAATTGAAAATTTTACTTTATAAATAATTGGTTTTTTTATCAATTTATTTAAATTTCTTTTTAATTCTTTTCTCTTTCGAATAAAATTTATTTTTATTCTTTTCAAATTCTTTTGTCCTACCAACCTTGGAGTGACTGTTGTATCGTTCGAAAAATAGACGTACTATTAGGGTTCTAATTCTTACACCAACAAGAGAGTTGGTCATCCAATAAGTATCACTTTAAGTTATTTTACGTGCGAACTTGAGTTTGTTATTTAAATGTTTTTGTATGTGAATATTTTCTTTCAATTTATAACTGCATTTGTTATTTTTTAACTACAAGTATAGCCTCTCGAATTGAAGTTGCTAAAGAAAAGCATTTTGCAAAATTCAATTTACAACTTATTTGTAATATCAAATAAAAACAAATCTTCATCTACATTAAATAAAAAAATACAATAAATAATTAAAAATAAATTATCGTTGACATACATACAATCACAACATTCATTATTCTTATAAATAACAATACAGGATTTCCATACAGGATTTTTTTCTAATAAAGTTTTAACGAGGCATATTCTTTGTGTGGCGAATGTCCATAACATGTAAGATATTTAATCTTAAAATAATACTCCCATATGTATGAGGCTCTCAAAGAGATCGATAAGAGCTATTTTTCGAATCATCATATTACTGAAATTGTTAAATGTTGATAAATATTTATTATGAAGACGATGTTATTTAAAGAAATTGACGTATAAGATATCAATATTGAAAACATTGACATACAAAATATGGATTGCTTGAAACGAGAATTGATATCAAGGGGAGTAACAGTACTATTTTTCCTTCGATCAAGTTTTGTCCCATTGGATTTTCTTGACAAAGTTTACATGAGACAGTATTTTATTACTCCAAATTATTTATACTCTTCTTTCATTTGTTGACATTTTTGTCCCATCTAGTTTTTTGTCGAACAACGTTTCAATAAGATAGTTATTGTGTATATAGTCATTTAATGGGAGTGTTGTAAATACGGTAGTATTTATGAATGTCTTTTTATACTCCTGCAACCCTTGTCATTATAACTATTGTATCCACTGTATTTTTCTATCTAATTTATAATAATTCTTTATTTGTTTATTTTGTTTTATTTAAATATGAGGGTGTAATTATCATCTCATTCGACTTATTGAGAAATTGAAAGAAAATGGGTTTTTTCGCACCTCAAAGATCATATAGGGGGTTTTCGGCCAATTTGAAAGGATAAAAAGGTATTTTGTAATAGGTCCAAATGATTGGGAAATTTTGCTCCAATAAACCCTTGTTTGACAACTATTATTTCTCATTCTCATTCTTGACCACACACTTTTATAATAAAATATTTTTCATATAAATTCAAAAAATTTTCTTACTTTCAATCACAGATTCTCTCCAATTTTATTATTCAAAAATTCATTATTTCCAGAAAATTCTATCAAAGGGAACTAAAGTCATTTACACATTTACAGAGATTGGCCTAAATTAATAATTTCAATCTCGTAACTCTCCCTTTCTCTATACATCAACGTCTTCATTTTTATTTTATTTTTGTCTGTTATGGGCCGCAGAAAGAGTTATTTATGCTTACTCATCATCCCAACACCTCACTCACGCCAATCATCCCCCCCTCTCTCTCTCTGCAACCTGTCCAACAAATCCCTCTCAACTCTCTCTTGCCATTTTTCTCAACTGTTGTAAGATTTGCAGAGTGTAATGTGAACTTTCTGTTTCTTGAGTAAAAGTCCTGTTCTCAGTAGTCAGTAATCTAACTTTTCAAAAAAGGTGCAACCTTGTGTAGTTTTTCTGCTCATTTTTAATGCCCATTTGCTCAAAACTGATTTAAATCAATCCTTTCAAAATTTTAAATCATGTGTTCTCGCTAATTTGTTCGGATTTCTTGTTTTCTTTGTGTTTTCGACATGCCCATTTTCTTGAACTTGTTCTGAACTAGTGAAATATAGTTTTTGGAAAATGGGATCTCGTTAAATCATTAGCTTCTTATATTTTTATCTTTGAAACTTTTAAAATCTACGAAGTTTTGATATTCTAACACCTTATCATGTAATTGATCTCAAGCCTTCTGTTTCAAAATTTCTCTTTGGTTTTTGCGAAAAGCAGTTAATGAGTAGGAAGCTTTTTGGGATATAATGTAAGAAAGGTGTTAAAAAGTGGTGGATCTGAGCTCTATCGAAATCAACCGTTAGTTTAGTTCTTGGAAGATGTAAAGAACTTTCTTGATTTTGGAATGGATTCAT